AAGGGGATTCTTGGGAAGACTGATGGGGGCTGGGAGAGGGGGCATATGGGAGAGATTGAGGGAATGAGTTCAGAGCTGGGCTGAGCAGTGGGGTTATGCTATGAAAACTATTATTTTCTGCTCTTCAGCACTGCTGCTGCTGAGGCCACGTGAAGTGGGATACAGTCCACGAAACCACAGTATTGTTAGACATAGCTCAGGACTGAGGTGTAACTTAAAATCTGATAAATGATTGCCTGCTTTAGTTTATGGTTGAAGCTGTATAGTCTGAGGTAAGGAAGCAATCTGTTCCCCAGCATCTGTCCATCAGCAAGGATACATGGTCCCCATGGAGGTGAGAGCACAGAAGCGTGGCCCCACAGCTGCTGGTGGGGACGTGTACCACCCTATCCCATCTGCTGAGGCCAGTGGGAAGACTGGTGCTGCCTTTTGAGAAGGAATTCCTTTGCTGCAGCACAAATGAAAAGCATGAAACAGCTGGCCAGGAGACATCGTGCTGCTCTGTTTAGTCCCAGAGCACTGAGGGAGCTCTTGCTGGGTCAGACTGTCCCCCTCTGAAGCACTGTGCCACAAGCACAGAAAGCATTGTTTGGGGATGAAGGCAGTGGTGGCACTCTCTTGGGAAAACACAGGAACAATAAATCAACCATATGCTTGTATGAGTGGTGGCAAATAGCAGCACAGCAGGTGGCAGCCCCTCTCCTAAGACTCCCAAAACATCCCCTGGCCTTGCGAGAGGTCACGGCGCACAAGCAGTCCCTGTCAGTTTCCATGTGGGAGAAACAGCACTGTCGTAACCATGAGTTTAACTTCACTGCAATGCCATCATGCCTTTTTTTTTTTTTTTTAGGCAAAAAATACACCCTGTTTGGTTTCCATGTCCCACATCACGGCTGGCCCTTTGGTGTCTGGTCTCCTTCCCCTGGGGATGAGCACAAAGCGCCCAGCAGACGGCATCCAAGCAGCTCAGTAGGCAGCCAGCATGAAGCCCTGGGAGATTGTCTGTCTGATGAAATCATCTCACAGTGTGAAGACCCTTGCAGCTGAAACTGAAAAGTTATTTATTTTTCCTCTAAAGGGGAAAACCAGCTCACTGTGGAGGCTGTTTGTCCTTTGGGGCAGGAATCTCACTTTTGCCAGCTTTTGTGTCTCTGTGCGCTGGCTGGAGGCAGTGAGATGCTCTGGCAGGCAGCGTGGATGGAGTAGTGCTGATGCCCTCCTGCTTGCAGCCTCCCTCCACTGAGGCAGGTACACCAAAGGGCAGAGGTCGGGCACCAGCCAGATCTGTTCCTCTCACAGGACATGCTTTCCTGGCATTCACAGCAGAGGTGTTAAAAGCAGCTCCTCTGCTGCAACCAGTTAGTGGTGCAGAGGATGCTTCTCCACCCTAATCCCTTGAGGCACCAAACTGCCTTGAGAGGAGCCACAGCAGAGGTGTCCTGCACCCTCCCTGACAACCCCAGGGACAGCAGTCTTCATTACCCAAAGGAACAATGAAGTTTCTGTGTGTCCCCTACTGTGCCTTGAAGGGATGTCACAGCCTCCTTCCCCCCCTCCCAGGTGTCAGCATGTCCTCTGCAAGGATGCTGGGCAGGCACCACTGGGCTCTGCAGCTCACCGAGGGGCTTTTCCTTGGGAATGCTCACCCTGCTCACTCTGGCTGGGAAATGAGATTAATCTAAAATCACCCAGAGAATGGTTTTACCACTATTCTCATTCCATATTGCCCTTTTACTTACCAAGGGCACACTATTTCCAAGCATTCACCACATGGCCTAATCCTCCTCCCACTGTGGTCTGCAAAAGGCACAGCACTGACCTGGGCCAGTGCTCAATGCTTTGCAGCATCCCACACTGACAGGGCATATTATATGTTAAATATTATATGTTATATGCTCTGCTAGAAGAAAGTAATCTCAGAGCAGGTGAGAGCTAAAGAAGCTGCTCAGGGCCAGTCTTTGCTCCACACCAGCAGAACTGCTCTAATGAACCTCAGACTCATTTGGAAACTTCCCTTGGTATAGACATGACTCATACAAAGCTGATACTGCACAGGCCAATTTTGCAAGTTCTGGGAAACTTGGAATCTCAGAAATACTACACGAAACCCTTCTGGGTGGTGCACACAAATTTCTTATCCTACTTGGGTGTTGCCTGTTTGCTTGGACCCTGTGCTAAGCAGGACTGCTTATCTTGGGATGGGTAGGACGGGGATCTTGCTTCAGGACTGGGACTCCTACATGCCAGAATAACAAAAAATAGCATTCAATAGCAACAACACATCTGTTCAGAAATGTGGATGCTGTGGCATCACTGTAAGGCTTCAAACCTCAAAGGAACAGCTCGTTCCATGGCCAGACGCACTGGCATGCCGATAGGGCCGAGTTTCCACTAGAGGGTTGTAGTGCTGTGCAGAAAAAAGATGCGGTTACTGTGGCAGGAATATTGTATGTACTCCAGGGCTTTGTCAGCAGATCAAAAGCATCCTGCGATCGCCTGGCTTCCAGCAGTCTCCGCAGTCTCTGATGTACACAGCCTGCAAGCTGCGAGAGGGCTGATTGCCTGAGCAACCTACTCCCCTGCCTTCCCTGAAAAGCCTCTAGCATTCACATGACTCAGCACCTACTACATGTACGTATGTACACAGATATAGTAAGTAAACACACTGTGTCTATGCGTATGCACACACAGCCAATGTGTTTGTGTACCTGGGATTTCGATGCACGGACACCCACACAGTGTGGTAGTGGCATGCCATCACAAGGAGCCAGGACCAAAGCCCAGCCTGGAAACATGGCAAACATGACAATTAGCAGCATCGGTGCAAGCAGCAGGATGGGAAAGCCATAGCTGTTCGTACGCTGCCCCGGCTCCAGGGCAGGAGCTGCTGTGCCGCGCATGGCACCAAATGTGGGTGCTGGCCCCTGGAGCTTTCCAGCCAACTGTGAACGGGAGCCATCAGAAGGGACTGACACTTCTGCCACCAGCCATGTCCCCACGTCCAGTGCAGCTCAGTAGGTCCTAGTGAGTTCACGTGTGTGTGTGACCCCAGTATGTGCCCATTCATATTTTACAGTAGCATATGTATTTTTGCATGTGTATCTATAGAATCAGAGATGAGTTTGGGTTGGAAGGGACCTCTAAAGGCCATCTAGTCCAATCGCCCTGCAGTTGAGCCTGTGTCTGCAGCTTTCTGAGTAGCTGGTGTTCAGAGTGCTGGCAAATGTACCACCCAGATCAGGGTAGTTTTATTGCCAGTAACAAAAACTGGAGTTGTCTAACACAGTGAGGAAAGCCCAAATAGCACTGACGTTGCCTTCATTTTGCAGAAAGAGTGGGAAGGCAAATGCAACCACAAGACTTGCCCGTAACACAGAAAACACAGTGTCACGTTCACAGAATTTACATAGTGATCAATTTATGTACCACCTGTTTGCCTGATATTATCAACATTTCCATTTATAGCTAGATGGAAAATAGATTTTGCCTACATTTTCATATCTTTTCTTACCAGAAAGGCTTTGAGGAAGTATGTAAGAGATATCCTTGCAAAATAAATGATTACAGCAAAAGATGGGCCTTAGTTCCCTTGAAAGATGACCTGATCTCACCTAGCTGTGTAGAAACTGGAGTCAACAGAGAGGCCCAAGCATGCTTGGATGGATCACCTGACCCAAAATAGACATTTGAATCTTTTGCTCCTCTTCTCAGCTAGCTCCACTAGCCAAGTGGAGCACCTCTTCTCATGCTAGCAGAAGATGTCAGAAGGAGGTCAAGTGAGCTGCTTCTTGCTTATAGAGGACAGAAAATCACCAGGGGGTACTCGTCAAACTTGGAAGAACTGCAAGGTGGACACATAGGGTTGGGAGAGCCACCTCCCACAGATGATGGTCTCTATAAACAGGTCTCAGACCTCAGAGAGACCAGACTGGCTAGAGAGCAGGGACTGTGGTGGTGGTAAGGCATCTCCTCCTCTGTACCAGGTAACAGTTGTGGCAGTGTGAGCCTTTGCTGATACCAGCAATGCAGAAGAGCTCTGTAACTCCAGGCCACAGGGGTTACCCCTCTCCTCCTGAGTTGCCACCATCCCTTGGTGGGCTGAATCGATGGGACAGAGGAGTGGTCAGTCACCACCAAGAATGGGCGGCTGACGATGAGCTATGGAGAGAGAGAGTGGCAGAGAAGCATGGTGTGAAGCAAGGTTTGGAGTGTGTTACAGTCATTTGAGAAGGAGGGGAGGGAAGGAAAGTAAGTGCTGTACTGCGAATAAGGTGTCTCAGCAGTTATAGGTTAGGAGGTTAGACTATATTTTTTGAATTAGTTATTCTAACCAGTGAGAACATTTATCCACTAATCATCATGCAATAAATATGTTCATTAATAATCTTTCATGTCTAAAATTAACTTAGAAAATGTTAAAAAAAGTATGCTATTTTGATAGTGTGAATGGTCAGATGCCAAGGAGAGCAGCCATGCACAAGTGCCTCTGCCACTTTGGGCAGCAACAAAACCCACCAGCCTTGGTGTGATACAAAGGCAGGTGGCTTTCTGCAGCTGCATTTGCAAACAGCTCTGCAAACCCTCTTCTCACATAGTGAGGAGTCTCTGACCCTCCCAAAGGAGTCATAAAATACAGCTTTGTCCACCCTGCATGCAATAATCAAACAGGCTTAAGAGCTTAACCACTCAGAGGGCAGCAACGTTAAAAAAGATTGCACCGGCCTGTTTGCCTATCTCAGTCCACTTCTCTAATCAAAACTGCTCCTCAGTACGGACTTGTAGGGGCACATTGTTAGTGGCAGAGGCAGAAAATTGAACTTGATAATAGAGAGGGAGTTGTTAAATGGGGATCCTTGTGAGGCCGTGCCCAGAGTGATTAGAAGCTCGCACAAAGAGCCCAGTGCTGCTCCTCTTGCTCTGCTCACTGGCCAGATGCCAAGACATGGAGCACTGGGATCATGCACCAGGCAAAGAAGATGGGACCAAACAGATTTCATCCTTTTAGGCTGTTTTATTAAACAAAGCCAAGCGAAACAAAACCAACCCCACTGTCAATACACCAGCTCCTCATTTACGCAAGACCCCTTTCCACAGCTCTGGGAGAACAAAAAGGCTGAAGTGTAAATGAGATCAGTGTTGGGAGTGTTATGCACATGAATATTTATGAAGGAAGACCAGACCTAGGCCAATTTTCTGCCCTCTTGAATCAGTGGGAGCTCAGTCATCAACAAACGGGCGGGAAAGGGTAGGCAAAGAGGCTGGTCCATGCCTTTGCGCTTTGCGTGGGCAGGGGCATGTGGGATGCTGGCAAAAGGCTTTATGTCTATGATTGAGGATATCTGTGGGAGCCATCAGTCAGGAAGAACGCTGAGAGGATCCTGGCTTTTGGGACAAAAGCTAAGTACAACGCAGTTATGAAGCAAGCATACAATGTCCCTTCCAGTCATGCAATCAGCTTGCAGTTTAGGGAAAAAAGAATTAACTGGAAGTTGTTACCATTCCTTGGGCATGCCAAGTGCTCACAGTAAATCTTTTTCCTGAAGGAAAAAGCAAGGTTAAATCAAACTACAAAGCCCATCAAGCATGAGATTTACAGCAATCTAAAAGGGTTACGGGTTCGTTTCTTAAACAGTTGAATTATGGCTGCTTCTGGGTATCAATATATTAAGCACGCTGACCCTCTCAGTGCTCCAGGGAGCTAGGGTATGAGCAGCAACGGAGAGATTGCGCTGGTTATTGTTTTTATGTGCATTTCAAAGTCACTTCCAAAAAAGAAGATGAGATAGTAGTTGAGTATTCCGGCCACAGACATGAGGAACAGGAACAAAATGATGCGTTTTCCAAACAAGTAACCAGGAGTACTAAGGAGACAGAAAGAAGAGGAAGCAATTAGTTAACATATGTCACCTCATGCAAGACATCCTCAGATTTTGGACTCTGTGTAGAGACCAGATGAAAGACCTCAGGGGCTGAGACAGAAGGGGCAAATTTCTGCTCTGTCTTGCATTGCAAGGCAGCTGCGAGCTCTTAAATGACATTTTCAGGATCCATTTGGGTCTGGATTTGGCCTCCTGTGCTCAGCTTAGGCTGCTGCTCACAAATGTGGCTATTCATAAGGACTTGTAGGTCTTCTCAGCCATCACAAGCTGTGGGACAAAATTGTTCCACATGTGCATAAAGAGCTTTATTAAAATAAAATGAAGATCTTGTGCAAATAGGGGCACAAACACACAAATGCATCTGGGTTTGCAGATGCTATGAGGAGGAGCTGCTGAAGCAGCCGCTCTGTTCCTCCAGCTCCCCTGACCCCAGTGCCGCCGCACCTCCCACATCTCTCACAACTCTTCCCATGCACCCAGAAGAGGGGGGCTTTTCCACACTACCCTGTGCAAGCAGCCACCACAGACACCACTATGAGCCAGTGGCTGTACCTGTGGAAGTGGCAATGTCCAGCTGCACTGCTGCTGCATCCTGAATTTTGTAAAAAGGTTCTGCAAGTCCTTACCTCTGAGTCCTTTCTCCGAGGTAGCCCACAAAGTACTTCTGCCTCACAAACAAGTACATCAGGCCGGCAAAGGCGGCAGGAGCTGGGTAAAGGGTAAAACAAGGCGTTACAAACACCAGCCTGGGTCTCGTACTGTCCCCATCTGCTGCCGGGCTGGACCAGGAAATGGGAACCTTCAGCCTCGGGCTGTGGGATGAGCAATGGGGGAAGGACAGAGACCTTTGGACCTTTGTGTGGGAAAAAGAGCACTTGATTTGCCCTCACACCAGCTTTTTGGAAGACTGTGGGTATAATCCTGCCTGCAGCTGCAGAAACCTGGTGTGGGTCATGCTGAGCTCGGGAGGGAGAGAGCCAGTTCAGTCACTGCTTTCACCAGAAGTAAAAGGCAGGCAATAGATGCACTTCTCTAGGAGCAGGTGGAGGACTATACTATGGTCCAATACTCATTTCCGAGCATGTAAAAAGGGGCTTTTCCTCTTTTGCCCCTAATTCTAGCTTTCCCCACACCTGCAAGCAAAAGCTCCTCTTCTAGTCAAGAAACTCCTCTCTTGCATAAAAAATTGCCACAGACCTCAGGAAAGTACTCATCTTAGCTTTAGGGTAACTCAAACTGCATTGAAGGGGATTGTATTTAGAAATGCAGACAAATACTCCTGGGCTGCCCTCAGCATTGGGAAGAGCTGAGAGCTCTGGCAGTGTAATCCAATGATTCCATTTCCAGTCCTGAGGGTGAATAACATAGCATCCAGCACCCAAGTACTAAACCCTCCACTGAAAACAGGGATCTCATCTGTAACACCTGTATAGGAAATGGTGTCTAGGAACACACCTGTTGGCATAAACCGTGCCAGGGAGTGTGCTGTTAATTAAGCAGCATGGGTAGCTGCAGGACAGCTGGGTGAGACCGGTCCCCTCACTTCAGGAGAACTTGGTCGCTAAAAGAGTAACCTTCAAAGTGCTTGTCATCCCTTGCTGAAAGTGGTACAAGGTTGAAGAGGGGAAAAACCTGTGTGTTACCTGGGCTGCAGAGAAGGCCAGCGCACCAAAGCACAGCCAGAAATGTAGGGTATGCATGTCCGCAGTTCTGGCTAGAAAGGAATTTATCAGACCAAAATCAGAACACAGGCAAATAGAAACAAAATCAGCATGTTTCACCAGCAAAGGATGGTGGGGTGTGAATTTGGGTTGCACTAACACTGCTGCAAATGGACTTACTCCAGAGTGGTGGGAGGCCCCCAACTTGCCTGCAGCAGGCAGCTGCCAGGAGCTGACTGGTATGTCCATGCCCAAATATGAGGGCTGCCTCGCCCGTAGATTTCCCTGTATCCTCACTTGGTTAATGGATGCCTTTGTTCTGACTGATGAGGAAAACAAACCTCCCTGCACACATGTCTGGCACCTGTGAAAGCCACTTTCCTTCTCTAACCTGTTTGATCATGGCATGTGTATAATAGATGCTGTGTGCTTTATTGGCTTGGAAAATACTTGTAATTAAGTCATATTAATCAAGTTATTGGCACTGTAAGCTGCATGAAACCAACAAACAGAGAATGAGACTACAAATACTCTGTCTCACAGAGTTAACAAGTGTCTTTGCAGGGGAACAAGAATGATTTCCAGCTGCCTCCTTTGGCCAGGAATGCTTTCTGAGGGGAAAGCACTCTGCCCTTGGTGGAAGTTGCACACCTGTGAAGGGCAGCACTTAGACATCCCATCCAGTTTCTAGCATATTGCCAGTACTTCACGGGTAATAAAAAATATTTTATGTTCTTTTCTCTTCTGGGTTGGAATTAATTTTCCCCTACGCTCTCTGAAGGGATGTCAAAGACAGGAGGTAAGGATGTGGTAGAGAAGAGCGCCGCGTGCCGAGGGAGCTGCTGGGGATCGAGGGGTTTGTACGAACTCTGCCACTGACCTGCTCCTCAGCAAGTTGGCACCTCTCCACTGGCTCTTTCTTTTGAGCCGCAGTGCCCTTGGGACACCAGCAGTGCTTGTATCACACTTCCAGCATGAGCTACTGCTGCGTGAACAGGCTCCCAAATGAAGGAACATAATACACATAAGGGCTTCAAGTCCAGTATAAATACAGCACTCGGTGTCCAGAGAGGAGCTGGATTCACCAGCAAACATACAGGAGAACCTTGGGTCTAAATGCCACTGCAATGCACAGCAGTGGGACTGCAAAGCAAAGTCTGTAACAGAGCTTGGATTAAACCTTAACAAAGAGAGTGACAAACCCCACTCCGTCCCCACCGACTTCTCAGGGCTTGCTTACTCACTTGGCAGTGTACACGCGGTCAAAGGCAGAGGATCCCGGCCGCTGGAACCCCTTGCCATTGCAGTGTTTGCTTTCATGCTCCACTTTGCTAGCAAAAAAAGCTGTTAAAAAAACACAAAGTGTTCAGTCTGAGATGTAATTTGGAGATACTGCAGAAGTTGGGTTGTGGTCTCAGCTCTGTTCTTGCAGCCATCCAGGCTGGACGGCCGGAGAGGATGCATGTGTGTGGAGATGCAGGATGTGGTCAGCGTGCTCGCTCTATCACTGAGGTATAACCAAACCCCCTGTGCAAGGGCACAGTGTGATGCAACCTCAGACATCTCCATGTCTCTGTATGTGACTGGTGGCAGGCTCTCACCTCTGAGTCCTGTTTCATCCCCGCACTGCACTTCTGGCAGCCTGCACCTCTGTCTGCTGTACAAGTACAGTCCTGACTCAGACCTTTGAGCTCCCAGCAGGAAAAAGGCTTTCCAGTCAGAGATGCCAAACCCAAATCTGCCTCTGTAACAGAGCAGGGAGACAAGGGAGTCTGTTCTCTTTTAGTGATACCCATTTGACAAACCAGGAACATCCTGCAGGGCTGGTTAATATTCCAGAAGGGCCCATTGAAAACTTGGTCCTGATGACTGATCTCTATGTGTCCATCTTGTGTGTATCCTCCTTTTAAGCAACAGTGTTGTGTCAGGGTGTTAGCTGCTGCAAAAACGCAGCACCTCAAGATAATGTATCATGCACTTGACAAATACATTTTATCTGATGACACTAAACACAAGACCATCAATCATGTGTCTAAATACACCAAACAGAGACCTGACAGGCTACAAGCTGCAGGCTTTGTATTGTTGTGCATCCCATCTCAGTGTACTCAAATCATTCTATGTTTTTTAGAAAATTAATCAAAGATATTTATAAAAGATAACCCATCAGGAAAGACATTATTGTAACAATAGAACTGTAACTTGACAATCTGCAGGATTTCATCCTTGGAATCTGAAGAGTTACCTCTTTTTTGCCCTCACTGATGCTCTAAGTAGGTCTTTTGTACATCCATTGCCTTCACTACTACTTCATCGCTACTGAGATTTTGCCTTCCAGTGTGATTCCCTGGGTACATAGTCCTTCTCTAGAAAAATCTGCAGTGCTTTAAGCCAGTGTCCCCACTCTGAGCCAGGCTGCAGACCTTCCTACTGCCACCAGCATGGTGCCCTGGCTGGCTCCTGGAGGAGCTGGCCCTGAGGGACCCAGAGCATACAGCACAGCCACCAAGAGCTCCTGGTATCTCCATCTGCCCGCAACCCCAGCCTTTGGTATGGGGTTATTAACCTGCCTACGGGGTCTAAGAGGACCTAGATGAAGAGGACTAGGTTGGACAGCAAGTTTTTGTACAGTGCAAAGTTGCTGTGATGGGAAACCACTTCCTGCAGGTCTGGGACTGCGTGGGCTCACTGGGATATGTAGCATACCTCCTCCCTTTCTTTTAGCATGTACATGAAGTCACTAGAAAATGCCACAGCTTCACAGAAGCCCAAGAGTAAGCTACATCTCTCTCTCCACTGCCACAGGTGCTGCCACATCCCAAATGCCAGTGTACCGCTGCAGAGAGGCTCCACAATGCCAAGAGCCATCAGGCTGAATGCAGACATGTCCAACGGTCACTTAGGAAGAGAACTTGGAGATGCCAGTGGTGACACTCTTGATGCACAGTCTCTGGAATCAAGGCTTAGCAGGCATGGGCATGCTGGGTCTCCTGGGAAGGATCTGGCTGTTGAGGTCCAAGCATCTGTCCAGGAAGCTCTTGCTATCTCTGACATGGTGTATGGATCCTTGGTCAACAGATGGCATTAGGGCAAACAACATTAAGACATTGAAAAATATTGGGGAGATGGATGTTTTCCCTCTGTAAACAGTGACAGAGGGAAACAGAGGAAAGGCACCTCCAGAGATCAATCCATCCCTCAGAGAGCTACTGGCATGAGACAAACCACTCAACTGAAGTGCTGAACTTTCTCCATTCACTCAAGAAAGAGCTTAAACAACCACCTCACACAAAAGGTCCATCTCTTCAGTAGAGAAAATGCCTGGGTCAATCACCTCTAACCCTCTGCAGTGTCTATATTTCCTCAGGACTCCCAAGGTGAGGATAGTGATTCAGAAGGGAACCCAGCATCTCACACACAGTCAATTGAGGAGTGATTGAAGGAGCTGGGACTGTTTAGTTTGAGGAAGAGAAGGCTGAGGGGAGACCTTATCACTCTCCACAGCTACGTGAAAGGACATTGTAGAGAGGTTGGTGCTGGTCTCTTCTCACAGGTGATTAGTGACAGAACAAGAGGGAATGGCTTTAAACTGCAATAGGGGAGGTTCAGACTGTACATTAGGAAAAAATTTTTCACAGAAAGAGTGGCCAGACAGTGGAATAGGCTGCCCAGGGAGGTGGTGGAGTCACCATCCCTGGGTGTGTTTAAGGGTTGTTTAGATGAGTTGTTGTGGGATATGGTGTAGGGGAGAACTTTGTAGAGTAGGGCTGATGGTTGGACTTGATGATCCCAAGGGTCTTTTCCAACCTGAATGATTCTGTGATTCTCTGATATGAAGAGGTAGAGCCTCCTGCTTCAAATGAGCTTTTCACCCTGGAAGTGGCTTCTCAGTTCTGTCGCTCCTTAGCTCTGTCAACCTCACACACCCTGCAGGCTCCTCAGATCTCTCCAGAAGGCAGACCAAGAGGTGGGTCCCACCTGCCTGAGGCTCAGACAAACTGAAGCTCTGCAAGGGATCAGAGCAGAGCTGACAGATCACATCCAGGGGTGAACCTTGCCACAGGTCTGCACTCCTATCTCAGCAACATTGGGCTGCTGTTAACCTGGCATTGGGGAAATGGAGCACTACAGAATGAAGCAGCTTGCAACCCCATGGTTATATTTCCTGCTCTTTACTCTGAACCTCAAGGCAAAAGGATGGTTTCACAAGCCTGAATGAGATAAGTGAGCAGAGCAACGATGGAGTTGAGGGGTTTAATTCAGCTCAGCTGCACGGGGAGATGATGCCCTAAGGCTTCAGGGCTGCACGGGCTGCCCTGGGCCTGAACCGCTGCAGTCCCACTCTGGTCAAATTAATGTACAAGGGTTCATTCAATCCAAGCCTGGTTGTTTCACAAGTTCATGACAACAGAACCATACACTGAAGCTCCAGCCCATCGAGTGCTGACAAACGCACAGGTTGCCTATTCTTTCCACTGGCTTCACTTTGCTTCCTCCATCCCAATCTGCTCAGTGATGACCACTGATTTTCCCTGAAAGCTGCTAAATTGCAACATCTGACGCAAGAATGAAACCTAAAAGCTACATGTGTAACCCAGAGGCATTTGGCTGCATGAGTCATTCTGTAGGACATGGAGATTCCCAACATGAACAAGGTCGCAGTAAATGGACGCCAGGCTGGGGCAGCACCATAGCCTACCTCCAGCTTTGGGAATAACAGCATTCACCCAGACTGTTTCCTAACCTGAATTTACATGGTACTTACTTCACGTACTTAAAGACAGTCAAGCAGATGTGCAAGTGCTTTGCTGAACCAGATACATAGCAAGAGTTCAGTGCAACTGATATCCCTTGACAAGCATTTCTACTGCCTTAATTATTGCATTTGTTGCAGGACTGCATTATCAGTCTGTTTTTTCTAGACAGAAAACCTGTTAGGAGGAAATCAGATGTTGCAAGGTCTGAATTCATGCTTTCAAGTTGTGTGCCACTCGTGCTTGGCACACTAAGTCCTCTGCCAAGCCTCATGCTGTCCATTTGCAGCAGTTGGGTCAGTAATTTCACAGACAGATTTCCATGAGATGACAGTGCATGTCAGGCTGGAAGGCAAATGCCCAACTTTCAGAGTAAGAGGAGAAAACACTGTATATTTGGTTAAATAACAATAAATATTTTACACATTTTTTTTAATTGCAACATGTGGTCTGATCTCAACAAGCCGTATTCTGGTGATGTCACATGGTGTGCATTTACCAGAAAACAGTGTTGGGTTAAACAATGTGTCATTTAGTGCCTATGTCGAAACTAAACCCGTCTCCACATCTCTCTCTTTTTTGCTGTGTGGCAGCCAGGCTTACACTGAACTTTCCACCACTTCCTCCCTTTGCAGCAGCCCAAGAATAGTCCATTTCCTCAGACTGAATATGGGGTTTGCACTTAGTTGGAAACCTCCCATTCGTACCAAGAAGCATTCACAGGAGAGTTCTAGCATTTGCATCAGCCCCCCATCCCACTGCTGACTCTCCTTGAACCAGGGCTATCTTAGTGCAGCTGGGGCAAAACTCACTCCCTGTTCTGTATTCTGGGTAGAATTTCTTGCTAAAATGATTAAGTATTTGTAAGAGACGATGGTAAAGTTAAAATCATATTTGCACAAGAAAGTTGTTTTATTTAAACCATCCCGAATAGTAGGAATTATAAAGGTCAGAATAAGAGCTAGAAAAGGAAACTTCTCCATTGTGGGAAATGCACAGTGTTCTTGGGACTGCAGTTAATTGAAGTTAGTTGGACTGTAGGACCTGGAAATTCAGGAAAACATGGGAGCTGTCTGCCCACAAAACCCCAGACAGAGTCCTCCAACGAATCGGTGCATTTCTGCTCCCTTCACCAAGCTCTGTGCAAAGGTCTGATTGATCCCAGGCCCCCAGGGCCCCCGCCCTTGCCCATGGCATCAGGGCTCCAGCTGGAGAGCAGCCCTGTCTGGCCATGTTAGCGACTTTAGCCAGGAAAGGAGGACTCAGTCATCAAATTGAAATGCATATTGTCACAGAATACCCCAGCATATTAGTCCTTTCATTAGCTGACATATGTATAAAGAACACATTGTAGAATATCACAAAGTAGGACCATGTGACTGCCAAGGTACTGCAACAACAGCATGCAAAATTATATGCTTAGAAGATAGTTTTTAAAGCCAAAGTCATGCCTAAGCACACATGCACTTATAAACACAGATTATCTATCCAAAGATCAGATCATCATACTTCATCCTAAACTTTTTTCAGCTCCCTCTTAGTCCTTAATTAAATGGTTATTTTTGTCTTACCATTCTGGACAACACTTATCAAGGTGATGATGGCGAGCAGGACAACGCTTCCCAGGGTTTCCTGGTCCATTTTGCGAGCAGGCTGTCTGGGTGGAGCGTGCAACCTCTGCAGCAGCTCAGCCCTGCAAACACAGAAGGAGGAAATGAAGGTCTTTCTTATCTTGAAACATGAAACACTTCCTATGGCTTCACAGGACACTGGCAGCATGCTGTTCTCAGCTGCCCATCAGAGCCACACAGCCACAGACTCACTCACTCATCATATACAGAGGAAGCGCAGTCAAACAAGAGCTTATATGTCTGTAATCTAAGAAGATATATAATGTGGAAAGATATCTATTGCCCTTCCTGCATACAAGCAAAATAGCAACCTTGATATCTAAAGTATGTCTGAGCATTTGGCCAGCTGTTTGGAACAGCAGAAAGGCTGGAAGAGACCAACTAGGCTATTATGTCATTGCCTGCAAGTGCCCAACCACCCCAAAATAGCTGGGAGGAGAAGTAATGTTGGCAAATGGTGTGAGCATTGCAGGTGGGTACAAAAATGTCTTTCATTACCAGGGATGGAACCTGTATCCTTCTCCATACAAAAACTCCCTGGAAGACAGTTACCACTACTAGCATTCAACATTTTACATGCTGAAACTTTGCAATTGTACCCTAATTTTAGCAGTCTAAGCCCAATATGGATGAATATAATTACTGCAGCATGTTCATGCCTTGCTTCAGCCCCATGACAGAGATGACAGGGAAGCACTGGCTGCAGTGTTAGACGGATGCAGAAAGTCTCACAGCTTCTTTCAGATCACTGGAAAGCATCCTCACCCAAAGTGCACAGCACTTGCCAACAATAACCACTCTGCTCCTGTTTGCCCATGTTCTGATGGGGAAAAGCCTTATGAAAAATGCTTACCTTTAGTAGGAATTTAACACTAACAAAAGTAACATTTTCAGCGGACTGAGCCCTGGACAACCTTTGCTCCATCTGTACTCCACCACATGCTATCCAGAAGGTCTGAATGCTGCCAGCATCCAAACCACGGCTGGCTAACTGGTTACCTCTCTCTGGATGGGACGCAGCCTGGTAGGACTTCCCAGCAGGGGCCAAGCTGAGAAATCCATCTTGTTCAATGGGTACACTTTTACCGACAACAGTGTTTTTATCCAGTCTCTATATCATGCAAATTATTATCATCTGTCGTATTAGATATGGAAAACTCTCAGGTACTTTGGGTACAAGCAAATATACAGAAACATGCTGGCTGAAAGGTGTGTGATTAACTGTGAATTGTGACCTTCTGTTAATAAAAGAAGTTTGTCTTTTAAGATACTTTCCCTATAGCTCACACAGACACAGCTGTGTGAGCAGCAAGGCCATAAACAGTATCTAGGTTGAGATCTGGCCTTTTATTAGGCCAAATGCTTTTATTAGGACTGAAGTTCTCTTTTTCCCCACAAAATGGCCTTTTCTTACTGGAGCATCAAAGTTTATGTTTTGTGGTCTACTGAGTACAGGATCATAGCTGGTATTTAAGGATGGTATTTAATGCTAAGCTTCTACTAATCTCCTGAAGAGGAAAACCCATCACCTAAAAGCAGTTACGGAACTAAGTCAAAAGAAGAATATTGTCCAAGCAGAGACTAATGCCATGACCATGAGGAAAGGACCTGTGCATGAACACGGGCAGGTATGAGGGAGCCGCTGACTGGAGAGGGCGAAGGAGACAGCACAGATCCTCAGGGCATCTGCAGCAGGATGACTCCCAGCTGTCCTCCCACAGCAGGCACTGATTCTTCTCTTTCTTCTGCCTGTTTTACACCAGTGAAAACCTGTGAGGCAGCTTCAGGCTTGCTTTAAAAGGGGCAGTAAAAACAGATGAGCCTGCTCTGAGATCTCCTCCAACTTGTCACAGAAATGCACAGAGTTCCCTGCTTTCAAAGACTTCCCAAAGGTATCTTCAGTTTGGCAGGAGTCTCATATTAAAGGGGGTAGGAATCAGGCTGCTAAGGTTTGAAGTTGTCATAATGCCCCTAAAAATAAAACATACCCCATGTGGAGGCTGGGTTGTGAGGCCAATACCTTCACTTTCTCCTCATCCTGCTTTTTGTTTTCCATCTCTTTGCTTTCCTGCCGCTCAGCACCTCTCACCATATCCCCATAACTGCTGTGCTCTTCTGCTCTGACCCTTCCAATTCTCTCCTGCCCCCTGGCACTGCTTGGCATGGAGGACGCACCGGCAGCACTGGCGCTTCACTGGAAACACAGCCTGTTACATCCTCCTGCTAAGGCTCACCCCAAAGTCATCCCTCACATATATGTGGAGGAAACACCCTCATCCCTGCAAAAAGTCCAAACCCATCAATTCCAGGGCTTGCTAAGCTGATTTCTAGATGTTCAGGGAGAAAAAAGCTTTCCCATCAAGAATCTGTTTGGTATGTCTGCCTTAAAATAGGAACTGCAAGGGTGAGGGTTTTTTTTGGTTTTGTTTTTGGTTGGTTTGTTGGTTGGGTTTTTTTTTTAAGTGCACCATCACTCTGAGGGCTCTGCTCAAGGAAAAGCAGAGAAAATCAAGAGGATGTGAGAGACTTGGAAAAATAATTACCATCCCTTTCCTGTGGCAGATCAACACTGTTGTAAACATAATTGGACAGAGCAGAAACCCTTTGAGGGGGGGAATATTATCTTTTCGTACTCCTTGGCACTGGAATAGCTGCAGGATGGAAGGAGGTTCTGGTAATTTTTTTTTGCAATTCAGAGAATCTCCTTGGTAAGGGAAGGCTAAGGTGGGGTTGAGATGACTCGGCAAATAGCTTTTACCATATCTATACATTAAATTGTTCCCTCTCCCTGACATTTAAACATCTGGGTGGCTCTTGCCTCCCCTTCTTTTGTGAAATATATACAGGATCGCTGTGTGGGTCATGCAAAGTTGGCACCACCGGAAAACCCTATCCATCTCGGAAAAAGATTGGTGCAAGATACCTCCATCATAGCCCACTTGGCCATCTGAAATAGGGAGTTTTCTCAAGCAGGCACCAAAAAATGGGGGGAGGGACACACACTTTGGGGAACAGTGCCTGCAGCTGCTGTAACCCCAGTTGTGGTGGGCGCCCTCCAGGCACAGATAATTCTGCACTTCAGCAGCTGCTGTCAGACACCAGCCCTCCTGCTTGCTGCATTGCTATTTGACATCCATATCTTCCTGTCTGAGGAAGATAACCTTGACACAGTGAGCCATGAAGCTCATGAAAATCTGCAAAGCCAGCGAGCTTTTCCAGTGGCGCTGCGAGGCTTCCTGCACATTAATCTCCTCCTCTGGAAATCTTGAACAGCCAGTCAAAATAATCCTTTCGTAGAATTGCTTTCATACTGAAGAGGAAAGGACTGGGAACACACATCTATAAATATCTTTTGGGATGCTCATCTCTCCTCTCCCCCTCTCCCTCTCCCCTCCTCACTCTGCTCAGCACTCAGCTGCAAGGACTCCAGTGAAAGTGTGTCTCAGTGAAATAAAAGCTGCTTCTGTGAAGTTCCTATATATGATGTCAGTAAACACACAGACATCATGCTTTATCATACATGCAACAGGATACAAGCCCCTTGGACTGGTTGGTTAATATTAGCACTGTGCTTTGCAAACTTAAAGTGCCACAGAACCACCAATATGTAGTACACATACATATGTGTGTGGCTATCTGCCGTAGTGTCAGTCTGCTTCAGCATCACATCCTTTCGAAAGTCTGACAAAACTCCAAAGGAGAACATGAACAAGGCTGGAAACATGAAATGCAACACAAAGAAAAGGGCGACAGTACAGTTTTTTAAATGTTGACTTCATTTTGTGCCACCAAGAGAATGACATGGTGGGAGCAGTCAGAGCACTGCCTCAAAACCCCCTCCTTCTCCACATTTCCCAGACTTCTTCCTTTTCATTACTGTCTCCCTACTCCATTTGCCCAAATTCAGCTCAAAGCACAGCGCTTGAAGACAAAGGTCATAGTCCCTCCATGCACCCCTCCTCCTCACCCTTCACGTCTCACCACCACTCTCCCAAGTAAAATTTGCTTTTTTATAGGAGCATCACACCGCTGACACCCCTGCAGCTGTGTTTCACCCTTGGGTCCATTTCTGCAGCACTCCTGCCTCGCTAGCGAGCCCTGTGTAACTGAGTTTGTGTGCCAGAGCTCGCCTTCCACAGAGAAGTTGTTTGGGTTTATCTATTAAATGTCAGCAGGTTGAGCCTGAAGTGTTGCTTCAGTGTAGCGAGACCAGTTTGAATTCTAGCCCCTCCACCAGGATACTGGAAACTCTCCTCCAACCTGGGCACATCTGCAGATTTGGTATTTTCGCTGCCATTGGGAGACTGGAGAATTGAACAGGGCCCAGGACAGCACCTTCTGAGGCCTTTTCGGCAAAGCCCTGTGCTTTCCCAGGAAGCTATGGATTAGTAGGGTTTGAGCATTGCCCAATGAGTGGCCAAGCCACCTCACTGGGATTTCCTCGCTGTTGTCTCTCCCTGTCTTGCTCCCAAGGAGCAGCTTCTCAGCAGCCACTGTGATATCATGTGGTGTCATCATGGTGGCCCCCAGATAGCTCCAGCAACCAGCCACCCTGTCACAGGAGGAAATTCACAGAATTACAGAATGGTTTGGGTTGGAAGGGACCCTCAAGATCATCTAGTTCCAACACCCTGCCATGGGCAGGGACACCTTCCACTAGACCAGGTTGCTCAAAGCCCCGTCCAACCTGGCCTTGAGCACTGCCAGGGAGGGGGCAGCTACTACACCACTGGGCAACCTGTTCCAGCGCCTCACCACCCCCACAGGAAAGAATTTCTTCCTTGTATCTAGTCTGAATCTAGCTACTTTCCATTTAAAACTGTTTGCCCTTGTCCTATCCCTACACTCCCTGATAAAGAGTACCTTCCCATCTTTCTTGTAGCCCCCTTTAAGTACCAGAAGGCCTCTATAAGGTGTTCCTGGAGCGTTCTCTTCTCCAGGATGAACAACTCCAACTCTCTCAGCCTGTCCTCACAGGGGAGGTGCTCCATCCCCATGATCATCTTTGTGGCCCTCCTCTGGACCCACTCCAACAGGCCCTTCTTCTTTGGGGGTCCTTAGA